CCCCCCCCCTCAAATCAAATACAGTCCCCCGCAAAAATCAAAATCCTGGCTACGGGTCTGATCTGAACTAATGTGAGAGCCGTTTAGCAGTGGAACTCTCTGCCCCGGAGTGGGATAGAGGCTCCTTCTTTGGAAACTTTTTAACAGAGGCTGGATGGCTATCTGTCAGGGGTGCTTTGAATGCAATTTTCCTGCTTCTTGGCAGGAAAATTTCCAGGCGCCACCTGGGGCTCCAATTCGTAAATGAGAATATTGGTGGCACTGCTTCCTGTTTTTGCACTGCACACTCAATCACATTTCTAAATCTTCCAATTTCAAAGCAGCACCTTTTGAGGGTGAAACCAATGGACTGGATGGCCCACTCGTCTCTTCCAACTCTATAATTCTATGATTCTACTGGAAACTAGGAGTTGCCCTTTGGGGAGGCACCAGGCAGAGAAGGTGAAAGACCTTGGGCAAACTACAACTCCCATGACTCCATAGCATGGATCCATGGCCGCTAAAGAGATGCTTTCAGTCTACAATGTACGAGCAAAATCTTGACCCTCTATGAACAATGACAGTGAAAGTGGTGTTAAACAGCATTAATTGTTGTGAGTTTTCCAGGCTGTATGGCCAAGCTCCAGAAGCATTTTCTTCTGACGTTTCACCTGCATCTATGGCAGGCATCTTCAAAGGTTGTGAGGTCTGTTGGAAATTAGGTAAGAGAGGTTTATATATCTGTGAAATGTCTATGTTGGGACGAAAAACTCTTGTCTGTTTGAGGTAGATGTGAATGTTTCAATTGGCCACCTTGATTGGCATTTAATGGCCTAGCAGTTTCAAGGTCTGGCCTCTTACTGCCTGGGGAATGCTCAGAAAACTCACAACAACCCAGTGATTCAGGCCATGAAAACCTTTGACAATGTATTAATTTTGCCATGTAAATGAATCCTTGTCTATGGGGAGAGGCCAAATGAAGACATTGCAATCTCCCTCTCCACATAAATTAATTATCCCATGAATTTTTCCTTCAGTTCCCAGTATTCCAGAGAGCGAAACTTCAAAACCTATTCAACTGTATCACTGTTTTGTTGTAGTGTGCCTTCAAGTTATTTCTGACTTAGGGTTTTCTTGGCAAGATTTATTCAGAAGGGGTTTGACTTTTGCCTTCCGCTGAGGCTGAGCGAATGTGACTTGCCCAAGGAAGAACAGTGGGTTTCATGGCAAAGTAGGGATTCAAATCCTGACCGTAGTCCAGTGCTGAAACCACGACTCCACTCTTAGCTTCTGAACTCCTAGAACTCTTGCAAATGCTCTATTTTCATTCCATTAGTAATTATTAATGTTCTTTGAGAGTTAAATCTTTTTTAAATCTTCAGCTTCAGTGCTAGAAATTTGTGGACTGAAGGAAAAATCATTGCAGGAGACAGAATTTTAATCAGGGAGGCAATATTCTCATTGTGTACCTCTAGGCTGTAAATGATCAGGATCTGAATGTCAACAAGATTAATTCCTTACCCGACCGATGTTTGCAACACATGTGGTTGCATGTTTACTCGTCTCACCAAATTCAATGGGATGTATTCCTAATTTCTTTTCGTGCCAAGAGCAACTTGAGAAACTGCAAGTCACTTCTGGTGTGAGAGAATTGGCCATCTGCAAGGACATTGCCCATGGGAAGCTTCTCTCATGTCCCTGCATGGGAAGCTGAAGCTGACCGATGGGAGCTCACCTCACTCCCCAGATTCAAACCGCCGACCTTTCAGACTGCAGTCCTGCCAACACAAGGCTTTAACCCATTGTGCCACCTGGGGCTCCAATTCCTAAATGAGAATATTGGTAGCACTGCTTCCTGTTTTTGCACTACACACTCAATCTCATTTCTAAATCTTCCAGTTTCAAAGCAGTGCTTTTTGAGGGTGAAGCCAATCCACTGTTCCACTTTCCCTAGTGGCAATACTTGTGTACTTCTAAACTGTTAATGTATAGCCAAAGTCCACCACCACCCATTTTTTCCTTTCTTTTTACGAAGTGCCCGTACCATGGAAGTGTTGCTACTTCTGTTGTGTCTCATGGCTGCAGGTAAGACTACTTTCCTTTTTCCTTTTTTGCTTTGTGAAATGGATAACACTAAAAGCTGAGGACAGAGTTTGACAGAAAAACCACATGTGTCTTCTCTCAGCTCTGTATTTGCTCCTAAATCTCTGATAGATAGGGGAAGCATTGCAATTTTCACTGCATATGAATCGTTCTTTTTTCTGGTCAATAGATAAAGTTGCAGGAACTGTGAGAAGCCACATTGAGAAAATTGTGCTCCAGTGTTGAGCACAACATTTTAAAGGACATTGACAATATAGTGCAATGCTGACTTTTCTTTACTTGGGTGTGATTCAAGCAGCCCAAGTAACTGCAAAAGCAAAAGAATTTCCTGCCCTGAAAAGTGGTTGTGCTTTGCATCTCTGCAGAATAAATTGTTGTTCTGGATTTGTATCCTGGTCAGGAGACAGGCCTAACAGAAAGAATGAAATAGAAGCTTGGTGGTCCTCTGATACTTGGTGTTCTGTCACATTACACTGTTGTTGCAATATTATTCCACTTTAATTGCCATGGAAACATCACATGGAATCCTGGGGTTTGCAGTTTACAAAGCCCAGAATTCTACAGCACGTGTCCATTGGCTACAGTGGTGCACTCTCTTGTTACATCCCGAATAGACTACTGCAACACACTCTGCGTGGGGCTGCCTTTGAAGACTGCCCGTAAGCTTAAATTAGTCCAATGTTCAGCAGCTAGGTTGCTCACTGGAGATGCATATAGGGAGCAATCTGTTGCACCAGCTCCACTGGCTGTTGATCTGCTACCGAACACAATTCAAAGTGCTGGTTTTAATCTTTAAAGCCCTAAATGGTTCTGGCCCAGACTACCTGTCCGAACGTATCTCCTGTTACGAACCATCACGCAGTTGAAGATCAGACACAGAAAAACTCTGGGCTAAATACAAAGTGCTTCCAGGCTAAATACAAAATGCTGATCATTACCTGTAATGCCCTTAACAGTTCAGGTCCAGGCTATTTGTTGAATTGCATCTCCCTATACAGGCCATCTCATGCACTGCAGTCAATGGAGGAGATACTCCTCACAGTCCCACTCACAAGCATGGTTGATGGAAACAAGAGAGGGGGCCTTCCCCGTGATCACTTCCTATCTCTGGAACTCCCTCCCTAAAGAAATAAAACTGCCCCCACCCTCCTCTTCTTCTTCAAAAGAAAAAAACTCTTGAAAATTCACCTATGCACTTTAGTATGTGGAAAGGAGGAGAACTTTTAATTCCATTGGAATGCTGGCTAACTTATTTGTATTCCACTGCTGCTATGGGATAAAAAACAACCATGATAGCCATTTTTATGTATTTAATCATTCTCATAGAGTTTATGCCTTAATTGTTAGTTATGCTATTAGTATAAAATGGTTATTATTTTGCATTATTTTGAGGTGTTTGTATTTGCTTACGGGCATAGAATGTTTGCCTTTTATGTGTGTAAACCACGCCAAGTCCTCTTGGGGAGAGAGGGCGATTAATAAATAAAGTATTATTATTTATATTATTAAGTAGAGAAAATAATTTTAGACTCTACTGATTGTGCATGAATATGTATTCTGAAACCAGCAGACTGGCTTGTTCATGCATATGTTGGGCACAGCCTGGCCATTGTGAAGTACTGTGAAGTCTCATTTGGGTGGGAAATATTTCAGGCATTGTTTTATTATTCCATGGAAATCCTTGCAAGTGACCTTGCAAATCCAGTTGAACTCAATTTATTTATTGAGCTCAATAGGATTTGCTCCTAGCTAATACTGTATCAGTAATAAAGCCAATTGATTTACCTGGTGTTCTTTCACTTTTGTTTATGCAGCAAAGCAGTTATTGTATTGTCGAAGGCTTTCATAGCCAGAATCACTGGGTTGTTGTAGGTTTTTTCGGGCTATATGGCCATGTTCTAGAGGCATTCTCTCCTGATGTTTCGCCTGCATCTATGGCAAGCATCCTCACTACCTCTGAGGATGCTTGCCATAGATGCAGGTGAAACGTCAGGAGAGAATGCCTCTAGAACATGGCCGTATAGCCCGAAAAAACCTACAACAACCCAAAGCAGTTATTATTCAGCTCCTATCAGCAATTTTGCTCTCATCCAAAAAAGAAGGTTACATAATATTGTGTAATTTTGTTCTAAAAGCCCTTATTATGCTTATGATATTTTATTTCTAGATGCCTTGGAGGTGAAGATTAGCCCTTCCCCATTAATAGGTCTAGTATATAAGGATGTTGTACTTCACTGTAACTTCACTGTTCAGCAAAGTTTCAAAAAGGAAGATGTGGCTGTGAAGTGGACCATGAAAAAAGTGGTATCTGGAGAAGACAAGCCAGTGTTTCAGTTTGATGGGAATCACACAGCAAGTTACCGACAAGGTTCCTCAGTGAATCCTGAGTTCCTGCCGTATGGCATGGCATCACTCACTCTGTCCAATGTAACATTAATGGATGAAGGGATTTATACATGTACAGTTTTAGTGATGCCACAGTATGGAAATGGGAAAATCCAGCTTAAAGTCAGAGGTATGGTCTCTTTTGAGGTCATTTGAGCAAAACAAATGTGGGAAGTGTCAAAATCAATAATGTTGGAAATTGCAACCTTCTACAAGCCTCCCATACTAGTTATTTGTTATGTATATAATTGGGATTGCTTACTATATTGTATGTATATATTGATATGCAGTTTTACCTTAACTCTATGTTGTTTGAGGTTGTGGGAGGGACTGCAGACCATGTGACCAGATCTGGGACTATTCAGACTGAGACTCCATTTTAGAAATCAGTACAATTTATGAAGTCAGTGCTGTTTCGTATGCAGTACTCAGTGTCAGTATGCTGCAGTGAGTAGTCAGTCTTTATTGAGTAAATTTTCAGTAATGTATTAGACTGAAGAGAGTGTTAGTCTGTATGTAACAAAGAAGAGACTAAAACAGAATGCTTTAGAGAACTTACTGTTTAAACTATCAACCAATAAGAAAGGTACCTGTATGCCAAATAAAGTTTGTAACTAAATAAACTATGTTATTTTTAACAAATTTGATTTATTTTTGGTCTCTTGAGAACATGATTTAAAACCAATATATTTTATGGGACAGTAGAAATAACTGAAATAACATTTCTGAAGATCTGCTATATATTTTGTGCATTGGTATATCTTTGCTCCTAACCCCTCACAGAGATTACCAGGTATATCAGTCTAACAACTGAGAACCCTAATTTGCCATGCATGAATTCTAGTGGATATTATTTACTGCTTAGAAGATTCACTCAAATGAGTATTTAAGTCTTCTCAAGAAGATCATACTTTATAAAAGGTTATGATTGTTCCAAATAAGATGAATGCCAATTAATCTCCAAAATGGTCACGCTTCCAAAAAGCTATGGAGATTCCTGGTTTTACAAAAGGTTATGTTCTCCAAAAGGTCATGCCTCCCCCCCCCCCAAATGCTGAGATATTCAGGGTTCTAGCCATGCCCCTTTTGAAGATACTCTATTTATATCCATTGTTACCAATTATTATTTTTATTCATTTATATTTCATCTTTCTCCCAATAGTGGGACTCAAAGTAGCATTGGGGATTCTGGGAGTTTCAGTCCATAAGCTTTGAGTAAGATCTTGGACTACAGCCCCAGACTCTTCAAAGCAGCTTGAAGCCATTTGAACTAGGAAATCTGGGATGTTCCTTTACGTACGTGAGGGGAATGTGCATTTGCTAATGTAACTAGGCACTATTTAACTATTGTGTCCCAAGAGGAGCTAGATCCTCAAAGGTAACTTTTTTTGAAATGCCTTCTCTCTAATAAAGATCTGTCTTCCTGTCTCAGCCCAGCCTACAGTTCAGCTCTCTCCCCAAAGTATATTGACTGCAGCAGAAGGAGAGAAGACATTTTCTTGTCATGTCCGCAACTTCTTCCCTCAAAGAATTAATGTTTCTTGGTTGGTCCGAAAGCACGGCAGCACATATGATGCACCGTTATCTTCAGATATATGCACTGGGGTCCCATCTTCACATGGCCTTGATGGTTTGTTCACTGTGCTGAGTCGTGTAACCCAGATGGTGAATGAGACAAACAATGGCTCCCTGTACATCTGTGAGGTGCAACATGAGTCCCTGAAGAAACCACTGAGGAAGAATACAACATTGTTGGTCACAGGTAGGCACCTGTGTCTTTTGATGAATTTTGTTGAGGGTTGTTAACTTAGATTGAATATCCATGCATGCTTTGCTCCCACCCTCAGAAGGAATTCACCATCCAGATATTTTGGGTTGTTTTATCATTGGGTTTTCATGGTAAAATACGTTGAAAAGGCATTAACCATGCCTCATTATGCACAGGACTAACAAGTGTTAGCTATAGAAATAATGCTTTTGTCTCTGAGAGATTCTCTGCCAGAGTTTTACATCATCCCTGTTGGAAATAGCAACCTTCAAAGCCTCCACTAACTGTTTATAAATGTGTATAATTGTTAACCTATACTGTATGTACATTTTGGTTTGCCAGTTTGACTGTATCTCTTTGGTGTGGGATGGGCTTCAGACACAGGACTCAATTTTTGTTAAATAGTATGCTTTTTAACCTCAATGGAGGTGGATGCAGTTTGTCCCCTTTCAGACTTCAGTGAGTACAGTTATATAGTTTGAACTATATCTATATGCTTAAAGACATTGGACTATGGAGTAGTATGCTGAATATATACAATAAGTTTGTTTGTAAACAAGATATGTTATTTTTCAAAGAAGACTTCATTTTTTAATCTCTGAGTGCATATTTCAACTAAGATGTTTCAAGGGAGTATATATCTTTTGGGCAATTGAAATTACAATTACAACTGCAAATTCTACTTCAAAGAAACAATTATCCTCTGCTAACCAAATATATTTTTGTAGTGGCATGTCTTTATCATTGGCAGTTTAAAGACATGGTTCTTCAGTTTAACAGCTGAGTTACCTGTGTGCTATTCCATCAATGCTTGTGAATATCACTCGTTCAAAGAGTTGACTAATAAGATCATTCTTTTCTTGACAGCCTCCACTGGGACCACCTTTACTGGCTTGCAAAGTCTTCTGGAATCATACTTCCAAAGTATGATTCTACTTTGAAATGATAGTAATAGTAATAGTAATAATAATAATAATAATAATAATAATAATAATAATAATAATATCTCAAAGTAGAAACATACTTTCAGAAGACTTCGGAAATAGGATTCTGTTTAAAACAATGAGCACACTGCCCGTACAAATTGTTGGTTTTAAAAAGGAAAATGAGGTTTTATTTATTTCTACTGCACCAGCAATAGTTTCTGCCATGGCAGCAAATTCAGGGATGGGCAGTAGGAGAAAAAGAGGCAGCTGGGGTGGGGTGTTGGAGTGTTTTCCTACCTGGCATAATTATATCTGCTCAAAAGAAAGTCTCACAAACTGATACACAAAATATATAAAATGATGTGCACTTTTATATTCATGGGCATCTGTGAACATTTGTTTTGCGGCTGGCAGCCAATAGGATGTTGTGTGATTTATGCTGCAAGCAGCGGTTTCCATTTCCATTTCTTTTGTTTAAAAAAATAAGTCTATATTTCTGATGCTGGAGAAAATAGCTGGCTAAGATAACTGAAATGAAATGCATAGTTTCCAAGGTAGGCAATCCCAGCAAGCAGTCTGACAAAAAGGTGATTGCATGTCAGAAGGAATACACTACTGATTATAACAAATGCATTTGTTTCTAGCACCCATACCTTATCATCAGGACAAAGGATTTATCATCGGGGTGGCCATTGCTTGCATCGTGATCACAGGTTTATGCAGCATATTTGTAACCATATTTTATCAGCAGCGCCTTGCTAAAGGTAAATCACTAAAAAAAACCCAATATAAAATGGTTTGATAGAAAGTTCGTTCATTTTATTTAAATTGATTTATTCACTGTTTGCAAACTGGGGTCAGGGAGTGAACTTCAAAAGAGTATAACATGTATTGTTGAAGGCTTTCATCGCTGGAATCACTGGGTTGTTGTAGGGGTTTTTTTGGGCTATATGGCCATGTTCTAGAGGCATTCTCTCCTGGAGAGAATGCCTCTAGAACATGGCCATATAGCCCGAAAAAACCTACAGCAACCCAGTATAACATGTATTTGTTACCTGAACTTGGAACCAACAAATTACATTGTGACCTGTAACTGCTATTTTTTTTTTTTTTTTGTAACAAGAGTACAACATCAGAAGGGAATGTAGGAAGTAACAACAAAGTTGCTTTCTTGGTGTGTCATGTAACAGTTTCTAGTTTCATGTTACTTTTAAAGGCATTTAAGGAGACATTTTGACAGGAAGTTTTCAAGGTTTATGCCATTTTTATCAATTTTATTTTTCCCGCTAAAAAAAGGAAGGAAAATAAAAAGAGATGAATTGCATAATAAATAATTACATCAGGTTAATATTTTCCAAGGGCTGACTTTAGCACAGCATGTTAATCATCGCAGCTGCAGTAAATCTTGCCAATGGAAGGCTGACACTTTGAAGCTCGGTCAGGGTGAGCTCCTGCCCTTCAGCCCATCTACCCCGCCAACCTAACGGATTGAAAACAGCCATGTGAATCGATGAATAGGAACCTCATTAAGTGGGGAGGTATTTTAGGCATGGCGTTTTGGAGGAAAGTTTATGAACAAAGAAAGCTCTTTGGCAAGGAGATAGAGTAGCAGCACCCCCCCCCCCCCCCCCCCCCCCCCGGTTGCCAGAACCAAGCACAGCCTCCAAAAGATGCCAAATTATGAGAAAAAGCCGAAATATATCTCTATCTGTTTTCTGTCTTGTCATTTTATAATCGGCATTGAATATTTGCCGTATATGTGTTCTGTGATCCGCCTTGAATCCCCTTTGGAGTGAGAAGGGTGGAATATAAGTACTGTAAATAAATAAGAATTTTATGGAATAATAATAATAATAATCATCATCATCATCATCATCATCATCATCATCATCATCATCTTTATATCCTGCCACCATCTCCCTGAAGGGACTTGGGACAGCTTACAAGGCACTCCAGAGTGCACATATAACATACAACAGGTAAAAACAGTACAAAGTATAAAACAAGTCACATAAAATTATGACAACAACTCCCGTCAACACATGTATCATAAAATCAAAATAATAGAAACACCTCCCCCTTCTTGCTTTTATCACACCATGTGCAATTTTAGATACCTATCTCATCTCAACCTTACCTCTTTCTCAGCTAAAAAGCCTAAAAATATCATACTATGACCCCCCCACCCCCCACCCCATGGCACTTGTTCCAATCCACTAATTATTTTATTTGACCTGTTTGGCACTTTATTCATGAAACCAAAAAGCATTTTGGAAGGCAATGTTTCAAGCCATATTCACTGCTCTGCTTTCCACTCAGGATGGCAGGGTGTTGCAGCAAACTGGGGTCGGGGAGTGAATAAAGACTCTTTAGGCACCATCAAATTGCACATTTGTTTTGATCCAAACTTTAGCTTACTTGATAAGATACAGTATTTTACACATCTTACTCTCAGTGTCTGAAAAGACATAACCTTGTATGTTTTCAGTCCCATCATAGTAATGTCATAATCACTTATGGCTAGTACCCATGACTTTTATGGTCTGTGATTCATTCTGCACTTTGCTGTTCTGTGAACCACTTCACTTCACTTTATTTCTTATTCAGGGTCTCAGGTCAAGGTCTTTCCCATCATTTGCTTTCTGATCCTTAAAAGCACCCTCTTGAAGATCATTAATTGGGAAGATGCCATTGCTCAATAATAGAACATATTGCTTGGCATGCAGAATCTCCTGCATTCAAGCTCTGGCTCGCCAGTGTTGTTTTCTTTAGCGGTGATTCTGGTTGGAACCTAATTCCAATTAATGAAAAATTCAGACTTATTTGCGATATAAGCTAGCAATTAAATTAAATTCATATTTGTTAAGAATCTTCAAGTGTGTAAGGGTGAATTGTTGTTGTTGTTGTTGTTGTTGTTGTTGTTGTTGTTGTTGTGTGCCTTCAAGTCATTTATGACCTGATTATGTGGTGTTCTGGGGCCAAGAGAGTGTGCTTACTCAAGGTCACCCAGCAAGTTTTCATTGCCAACCAGGAAATCAGATTCTGGTCTCCAGAACTGTAGCCCAATGTCAAATGCTGGAATTTGTAAGTTGCTAAAGTACTCAGAATTGTCTGGTGGAAAACTTTAGTCAAATTCCCTGAATTATAGGAGAAAACATTTAGTACTTTGTGGAGTACTAAACTTCCTCCCTTCCTTTCTAACTTTTAGTGGAACCTCAAGTTTCATCAATCATTAAGCCAGACCTGATTCCAGTTAATGAAAAAATCAAACTGATATGCAACATCAATGGATTCAGACCCAAAACAATCCAGGTGAAATGGTACCGAAAACATACACACACGGCATCAACAGAAGATCCTGCAAGAGAAGATGTAGCTCTTTCTGATGCTAGAGAAGATATGACAAGTATGGCTCAGCAACCCTTGGAAGCCAATGGCCGGGTTTATAGCATCTCCTCCTGCCTAACTTACACACCTACTATAAAGGACAATGGGATGGAATTTGAATGCAGCATCCAGCACAGCACTCTCAAGAGCCCAATATGGAAGGCCACGGTCATTTATGTTACTGGTAAGGCTGTTGATTTAGCATCAGTGTATTAGCTACAATTACAGTACATCCTTTCCCCTAAGATGGGACATGTTTGGTGTGCTAAATTCAGGGAGGATCATATCGAAAAGAAAGAGCATTCTTTTCAGCAACAGCAGAATCCACATTAGGAGGATGAGTTTGCATAAGCACAAATAGAGGCAGAAAATAGTTTTTAGGATCCTCAAAGGGAGGAATACTTATTAAAGAATACCATTCTTTAGATAGAGCAGCCTGATCCTTACTGAAAAATAAAGATATTAGGCAGACATTCTCCAGCATCTTCTCTTCCATGAAAGGAGAAAGAGAGAGCAAATGGCAAAAACAGAAGGAGAGTGATCAGCCCTTCTTCTGTGCAATAAAGGTTTCCCCTTGACATTAAGTCAAGTTGAGTCTGATTCTGGGGGATGGTGCTCATCTCAATTGTCTAGAGACCTCCAAGATCATGTGGCTGGCATGTTGGCATAGAGTGTGTTTGTGTAATAAAGGACTAATTTGAGTTACCCTGCCTGAACCAAATTATCTAATCTGCCCATCAACTACCAAACTCACAAATTCTGTATTTTGTCTGTTTGTTTGCTTTGTTCTGTTAGAAATGTAATATAATTGACTGGGTGCCCTGACAGGACAAATAAATAAAATAAAATCTGCCCATGTTGCTTTGGGATAGATGGCAGACAAAGGAAACAAGCAGGTAGGTGAGACATTTTAAAAACAACTGAAAAAGTAAAATGGAAGAAGATTAATTGGGATAATCCCTATCAAATTAGAACAGTTGGACAAGTGAGCAGGTGAGTGTTAATGAGTCTTGGCCTCTTGTGATGTTTTGGTCTGGAACTCCTGTGGGATATCACTCTTACTCATTTCTGGTGGACTGAGATTTAATTTTTATAACATTTCAATAATCTTATAAAATAGTATACTTTTATAATATTTTCAAATAAGAAATTGCAACATGGAATGCTTCTGTGTTCCAGAATACTATATTGTACCTTTCTCTCTCATTTGTTTCATTCGTTCTGTCATCAATACATAGTATTCCATGGCTTTGTGACTTGCTTTAGGTTTCTATCTAACATTAGGATCAGTTGCATCTGATGGGAGTTGCAGGTCAAAACATCCAGAATGACCCAACTTTGAAAATTCTGGCATTTGGTCAGAGTGAACCAATGTAACGTCTGAAAAGATTGAATGATGAAATCCTATCCAATTTGATATCTCTTTGGCAGCTCGCCCAGCAACTCATTACATCTTCAGTTCACCTCAACTCCCTGTCCAGGGAGAGAAGCTCATTCTGACCTGTGTTGTGGAGAAATTTTATCCAAAGAATATTGCTTTGGTTTGGTTTCGAAATGGACATCCAGTTGAAGAGGTGACACAGTTTGGACCGTTTCCTTGTGAGAGCGATTTTTACAGTGTGTGGAGTCAAACTGAATTTACCCTGACCAAAGACAATGAAGGAGCCATTTATACTTGTCAGATCCACCACAGCAGCTTTGGAAATGTAGAGGAACTCTCCTATGAAATAAATTTGCAAGGTAGGATGGTCTCATGAACTTGGTGTTTATTGAACCATTCAACAGACCAGAAATGTAGCAAATCTGAATTATCACTTACACCAGTGGTTCTCAACCTGGGGTCCCCAGATATTTTTGGCCTTCAACTCCCAGAAATCCTAACAGCTGGTAAACTGGCTGGGATTTCTGGGAGTTGTAGGCCAAAAACATCTGGGGATCCCAGGTTGAGAACCACTGACTTGCACACTTCTTCATATATTCTAAGACAGATTAGAGCCCTCTATATATCCCCATCTACTCTTACAGCTCCTAGAATTACTCCATTTGAAGGCATTATGTTGTAGAAGGTTGTTGCCAGGAAATTTCTCTAACTCAACAAATGTAATGGAGCTATTACAGTGGAGTGTATTGCTGATTAGACATCAATAAAACTGGGCATTGCGTTGAGTTCATTGTTTTTTGCCATCAAGTCAGCCTCAGCTTATAGTTTATAAGTTTGGTGGGGAAAATGTCCAAATAGGTAAGAATTATATCGGTTTTTAGAGCAAGTGTGGTATAGTGGTTGAAGTGGTGCATTAGGGCTCTGAAAAACTGAGATTCAAATCCCCATTTGGCCATGGAAACCTATTAGGTGAACATAGGTAAGTCCTATTTTTCATCATCAGAGAAAATCAATAGCAAACAACCTCTAAACAAATCTTGCCAAGAAAACTCTTTTATGGATCAGAAAATGACTTGAAGGCACACATCAGCACCAAACATCCAATCAGCTTTGTATTGCCCTCACCCTTTCTCTCCATGGGCTCGCCTGTTGGTTGGAATTTGAGATCTTTCCCAAATTCACATTTGACTGCTGGGGTGGAAACGGGCCTCTGTCTTTGAGATAACATGATGTACTGCTGCAGCTGCCACTATGGGGGACATGTAATCTAATCAGTGATCTTTTTATCTTTGCCATCCAACAGGAACACCTCCAGAAGTCCTTTGGATCACTCCAGATCCATCAAGTCCTGTGCCAGGAGAAGAGCTAAGGCTGAACTGTAGAATCAATAACTTTTCCCCTAATCTTATCAGTGTGAACTGGTTCAAAGATGGGGAGCTGCTCCATGAGCAGATCTGTCACTCAGTCGCTGTTGTTGGCACCAATGGCTTGTTCTCCATGTGGAGCCTGCTGAGAGTTATCCCAGAGCATGGGGCAAAAAAGGCTGTGTATAAATGCAGAGTGGAACATGGAGCCCTGAAAGAATGCATAGAAAGATTATACATGTTGCAGTTACCTACTGCATTCTGCTAAATTGATAACATCCTTGAACAAATCCTTGTTTTGCTGTGATGAACTAACATGGCTACCTTCTTGAGAATTTCCACAAACACAACATGTAAAAAAAAAGGTATGCCAAAGGGTGCTTTGATAAAGTGTTGTAGTGGTGATGTATGAGCTAAAATGTGATCTGGACAGAGCATTTGGACTCTCTTTCCTTGTAGGAGGAAGGCAGCATACTTTGGCTTTTGGCCTGAGATCTTCATCTGTAAAAATACCCCATAGGGTGGCAGAGAGATTAAATTCTGCTTACAGCATGCTTTGAAGATGTTCATTTCTAATTGCTAATATTAGCCTTTGGCTACTCAAAATCCTTGGACAAGACTATTCAGTTCCAGATTTGTACAGCTGTTGAAGATGTTATGACAGATGGAGTCCTTTATGCAGGGATCAGAGCAATTTATTGAGTCATTGGGATGCGATGGGAAGGCTAAATATGAACCCTGATTCTGTTAACTGATGGTGATCAATTTAGGCCTCAATTTTCATGAATTGTAGAATAATAAGAGTTGGAAGAGACCACATGGGCCATCTAGTCCAATCCCCTGCCATGCAGGAAAAGCAAAATCAAACTATCCCTGACAGATACCCATGCAGTCTCTGTTTAAAAGTTTCCAAAGAAGGAGCTTCCATCACACTCCGAGGCAGAGAGTTCCACTGTTGAAAAGCTTTTATGGTCAGGAGGTTCTACCTAATCTTCAGATGGAATCTCCTTTCCTGTAATTTGAACCCATTGCTCCAATCCTAGTTTCAAGGGCAGCAGAAAACAAGCTTGCTCCCTCTTCTTTACTTGAGTACTTAATTGAGAAAAATATTCATTGAACTTAATGGGATATGCTTCCACATCAGGAATAAGGAAGGGGTGGTTCTCCAGATGTTGGACTACAGCTTTCATATTTCCTCACCACTGCCCCTGCTGGTGTGGTTAATGGGAGTTGCAATCCAGTCATATCTAGACAATAATAAGTGATCCAAACTTGTTCTAAGGGAGCATGCTTAATGTGTTGCTAATGTAGTTGCAGCCTCTCCGCTACGCTTAGTCCTAACTACAATATTTTAAAAAATATTCTGAGGAGTAAGGATTGGATAACCACTAGCGCATTCCCTCTTATTGTCCTGATTTTGTAGGGGACAGTTCTGATTAATCCTCTGTTGTCCTACCCTTCCAACTGCTTTTAAAATGTGCCAGTTTCTCTTCCCTCATTTCACTTTCTCCCTTTGTCCTCAGATTGTTTCAGGCCCCTTTCATCCAGCTGTATAAAATCCACACTGAACTGGATTATATGACAGTGTGGACTCATACGTATAACCAAGTTCAAAGCAGATATTGTGGATTATCTGCCTTAATATTCTGGGTTTTATGGCTGTGTGGAAGGGTCCTCAGTTGCTGCAAAATGAGTTCAAACTACAAAAGTAGTCTCCATCAAGTTAACTCTGGGGCAGAGAAAGGGAGGGGGGATTTCTGCCCTTTCCAATAGGCTCAGTGAAAAGCAAACTACTGCAGCAGCCTTTTCTAGCTTGCGTGTTCTTCCTCATGGACAACTTTGACAATCTTATCCACTCTCTGATGTGTGGCGTCCCAGTTTTTACCTGTGAAAACATAGGGCTCTGTTTTCATCTCTAAAACATTAGGTGAATATTTGTGAATTCTGTAATTGCAGACAATACACAGACAATTCACTAGTATGAAAACTAAATAAAACAGTTACATTACACATCAGAGTGTGGTCAGTATTGCCAAAGCTGTTCAGGAGGAAGAAAAGCTGTCCACCTTAAAGATAGACTAGAATGGTATTTCTCTAACTTTTCATGAAAGAAGAGCAAAACCAGCATAGAAGTAAATCAAGGGTTGCAAAGATTTGCACAGAAGAAACCATGGACTGAATTTCTAAGCCAAAATAAGTCAAAAGCAGTCAAAGGAACCATGTCCTTGTTGCAACCACTAGATGCTGCTCTTCACCTCCAACTGATTCTCCCTTTTATACTCTGTTCAGAGAGTTCTGTGTTAAGAGCTGATTCATATTTCACCTTTAAAACTTGGACAATAAGGATAACTTTATGGCTAACTACAAAGAGGCAGAAACAATCGGAGATTCCTTTTGTGAACTCCAGCCTCCAGGTTTGCTTAAAATAACAACAGATTCAGTGATTCAGAAATTCTTTGGCACCTGATATCATTATACTTACTCTTTGCCTTTTCAGTTAGGATAAACAAAAGGGTTCTAAAATATTTTTTCTTTCATTAGAAAATATTTGCGACTTTATATAATATGCATATGAAACTTGACCACAACTCCAGCAACCCCTCCTCTTACTCTAGAGTTTAGAAAACAGAGTGTGTTTCAGTATTAGATAATTTGTACTTGTACCTCATTTCCATTTATTTTATGCAGGGACCTAGTCAGTACAAAGCAATCAACAAACATCTGCAGTTTAGAGACCAAGATTTTGAAAAAAATACTTTTTGGACAATGGTTTTTAGCCATTAGGCCCACGAGGCCTACTGACTGGGCATAATCGGCTCTTTAGTAAAGCGACACAACTTCCCTTGGGGAGATAGGGCAGAATATAAATAATGTTATTAATGGGTTGTTGTAGGTTTTTCCGGGCTATATGGCCATGTTCTGGAGGCAATTTTTCTCCTGACGTTTAATGTTATTAATTTTATTTAAGTTTTCCAAGCTTGTTTCAGAAGGAGAGAACAAAATATTCCCCAGAATATGGGACAATATATCTCCTAGCGTCTTCATCTTAGAAGGTTCTAAAAGAAGCAAGAGAAGCTTAGATCTTTCCCCATCTCTGAACATTGCTGGTGTAGTCACTACCAACAACAACAACAACAACAACAACAACTCTTTTTGTATCCTGCCTCCATCTCCCTGAAGGGACTCAGGGTGGCTTACATATGGCACAGTGTGCCTAAAACAACACATTAAAAATGAACATACAATGCAATACAATACAAAATAAAACCAATGGTAAATAAAACAAAGTTTAAGCTCAAAACAGTGCCCCATAACCTATGATGAAAACTGTCATAACACATAGCCAACTGTAAACAGGAGTAAGGAGTAGGATAGTGCAAATTTTAGCTAATGAACTAGGGCATGGGATGAAAGTGCAGTTTTGTGGCAATAAATTGCAGACCATTGGGACTAGAGATTCTAAAAGGCTTGTCCAAACATCCAAGTCTTTGGTTCCTTCCAGAAGGTGGACAGTCTGCGTGTCTGCCTAATCTCCCTTGGAAGGGTGTTCCAAAGCCAGGGGCCACCATGGAGAAGGCCCTCCCCCTTGTCCCCACCAGCCGTGCTTGTGACAGTGGCAGAACCATGAAGAGGTCCTCCCCAGCAGATCTTAATGCTCATTCAGGGACATGGGGGAGGGGAGGGGAGGGGGGAGATGCGGTCATGAAGATAGGCAGGACCTGAGCCATTTAGGGCTTTGTAGGTAATGACCTGCACTATGAATTGGGACCAGAAACTTATCGGCAACCAGTGGAGCTGTTTTAATAGGGGCATCATCCACTCCCTATAATTAGCTCCATTTTAGCAACTTGGCTGCCGATCATTGCACCAAATGCAGTTTCTGCGCCATCTTCTATATAGTCTAACATATATAGTCTATATCACAGTCTGAAAAGAAGTTACTTTTTGAGTAAAAATCCCAGAATCCTCTATCCATAACAATCAATGGCGAAACTGTATTTTGAAGGTTGACTTATTCCTTGGACCTAGTGTAGAGAAAGGGATTTAGGCATGTGCTCTTCTTCAGCTAATGTGCTGCAGCCTTGTGTGAAATGGCAAGGTATACATAGTGGAATTCTTGCCTCTCTGCAATTATTATAGATAAAGAGTTCCAGCAGTGAAAGATTGTCCACTTCTGCATAATAGGCCCCAGTGGTGCTGAACAGCAGACTGCCTTTAATAATGGGCCAACTTCAGATTCCAGGGGCTTCAGCTATGATCATCTGATCATAAATCAGCCTTCTCTGGAATGACAATAGAGTCATTGCAGGAAGGAATATATTTATGAGCAAGAACAGAATAGTGAAAGCAGCAGGGAATAAGGTGAGTATGTTGGGATTGCCGGTTGGAGCTGTGTATATTTTGGAATGAGGGGTTTCTGCTAACTGAGCGGATCTTGACATAATAACAACAAAATACTGGGTCACTGTTGTTGCTTTTTGGATTGTGTCTTTTTCGAAACTGGCATTTTAAATGGAAATTTTCAGTCCAAAGGTTTTGTTGTGTAAGAACCTGTTTATATTACCCTAAAAGAAGAAAAATTAATAACTGATTTTATGATATAAACATCTAAATCTGTATTAGTGTTAGTACTGTTATGAATAATAATAATTGTTTCCTAAGCCCTTCTTGTTTGAACTGACTTATTTTTATTTACATGAAGTCAGGTGTTCAGGTCATCCAGCAGTCAGAAAGGAGAGGGGTGGGTCAAACGGATGAAAAATAGCCTATGTCAACTGACCAGAACAAATGAATGAGATGGCCCCTGCCTCTCTTAACAGCAGCTTACTCTGCTCAAATCAATAGGTGAAGGTTGTCATGATTAACAGATAAAGTTATCACTTTCTAATATGGTTGCAGACCTTCAGATATTTTTGGCCTACACTTCCATAAACCAGCCAGTGAGGGATTATAAGTGTCGTAGGGTTTTATCATATGAGATTGCTTCATATTTGGAGTTTCCTAGGAGTAAAAGTCAAAGCTGTGGAGAATTTTTTCAATGCAAGAGAGGCCTCAAATCAGTACAGACTATAGCAAAATGATGACAGAAGTGTCTGAAGTGATCTGTAAATTCAGGTCCCTTCTACACTGCCATATAATCCAGATTATCAAAACATATAACCCACACCATCTGCTTTGAACTGGATTATATGAGTCTATACTGCCTTATAATCCAGTTAAAAGCAGATAAAGCAGCCAGTTACGCAGTGGGTTAAACCGCTGAGCTGCTAAACTTGTTGACCGAAAGGTTGCAGGTTCAAATCTGGGGAGCGGAGAGAGCTCCCGCTATTAACCCAGCTTCTGCCAACCTAGTAGTTCGAAAACATGCAAAAGTGAGTAGAAGATTTGGTTTGGCTGCTCTCCAACATTTGCTTTCTTTATCAAAGTTGCTTTTACATTTATTGCTATAATCTTGCCTCTCTTAGATACTCTGCTTCTCCAGCATTTCTACCTTTCTTGATAGTTAAATACTGTATTTATCTGAATGGGAAAGCTTGTGTTCTTAATAATCA